GACAAAGCGAGACACACCTTTTGGGCATGATCAGCATATTGCATTATTGTACATGATAGCGGAATAAGCAGCACCAACAGTGGGAGTAGTAAAGTTGGAGACAGTAGTGTGGGCCCACAGAGCCCAAAGGTTGTATGTAGTCTATGTACACAGAATGCGAGAGGTAAAAATAGTAATCAGATCACTTATATGGTATGTTGATGAGGAACTAGTCCGATGAGGTCCCGTAAGCAATGTAGGTCAGTGAGTAAAGTATGAGGAAACGGGTGGAAAATACTTAAGAATAGTGGTATGTCACTAGTCAGATATGTAGGCGTGTTCGTGCAAGAGCCGATATATGCACAGAACTTGTAAATGTGGTGTCAATCAACTTGCCAATGTGTTAGGGGCGGTGACTTTATTGAGTGGCGAGTCACATCCGCCACGTCGCAGTGTTGTTAAACAGACATTTGTGGCTTTTTGTAGGGAAAACGCTTGCCAGACGAAGACCCACCACGTCCTGGAACACTGCCGGCTGTTGATATACATTGGCAAGATGGTATCTGACCGATTACCCTCGCGGATATTCGCAGTCACGCAACGCCAATTTGTTTCCTATGGCTGTGTAGTCGCCTTCGGAGTCCATTACAAGTGGTTGGAGCTGTTGAAGTCGGACGACTCAGGTGACTTGTATTGAATTGATCAGTTTCCTAGGTTCTTTAGTGTGTCATGATTATGAAGTGCGGGTTTTTCTTTGTTCTTTATTGAATTCGTGTCCATGGGAGCGTCGCAGGTACGTCTTCAGCGGTGTTCGGTGCAGGTAATGTTATCCATGCACTACTGTACACGGCAGAGAACCGTATAGGTTTGCCAAAAAGCCTACGAAGACTGGTGTGAGAGACTAGGGCTGTACATCCTGTTCTATCGTCGGGTACGAGTCAATCTTATGATGACTTATTCTGTTTCACATCTCAGTGACTACAGTATGTTGAAGCTACTGTTCCATCTGCGAACACCATGCAACCTACGTGAACAAGTGGATAAGCTTGTGGTACCGGATCGGAAGCGAATTTCCCACCCGCTCTGCTTCGGACAAACTTAGGGATTGGAGCAATCTGCCAGAGCACTTAGATGAGGCGAAATCGGTGCAGTAATTCGGAACGAGCACTTTTCGCCACTACTATTCGGAGAATGACCTGGCCTGAAGAAGCTCTTGTGTCAAGGGCGAAACGTTACCACAATAAAACCCTACCAAAACCGACTTGTATTCAAACCTTCTGAAATCAGAAAATGACGTCTTACATTGTGAGTCTTAGGTTACTGTGAGGCAGACACTAAAAAAATCACAGAACTTGAAGAACGACTAGTATTGATAAGCGATTGCGAAACCTGGCCCATTAGATCAGCCAACATAAAGAGACCAGTAACCTTTGACCATCGGTGCCTTCGCAGTATGGCTCACATATGGTGGGAACACCGAATGAGTAATTAGCGTGTTCGATGCCTTGTTTATGACACATGAAGAGGAAGTGAGTTACTCATCACCGTTATATCACGCACCCGGCTCCGATGGCTGGACCACATGTTGCGCATGTCAGTAAACCGACTCCCGCGACGTGCGTTGTTTGCTCGCCGGGGGATGTGGGTGGAGGAAAAAGAAGGGTGGCCAAGCAATGACTTGGTCAAGAGGAATGAAGGCCCTTAGTTCGAAGTTGGCTTCGATTGGAACCTCTTGGCTCCCTAGTTAGGGTCCGAAAGACGATGAGCACGTTTGGCTGAAGCCGGCCTCAATGGTGTTTGTTTCTTTGTACATCCCTTCCCCTTTAGCTTCCTCCTCCAATCACGATTTCATTTACTAGGAATAATGTAAATTTTCTTGCGGCACAATGGCCGGCTGTTAGCTCTCCAGAACGATGTCCATCCGTCACTGGGGACTCAGCCGACGTGCCACTGTTGTTTTTTTTTCTTTGATATTGTGGCACAATGGCTGAGGGGTTTTTCACCTCGAACTAACGCGTATAATGACGATGATGAGTGGGAATTGGAGAAACGAGAGTATTGATAGGTTAGATGTTACTTTCTAAACTTTTTGATCATGTTTTCATTCCGTTTTTGAGTTAAATTCTACTTGTTTCAACAGTACAGAATTCGCAATTCGGCGTAGTTGTTGACGATAACGACCATCATAGTGCTGGTCGGCTTTACTCCAAAAATAGAAAACAAAAGTAAAGCTCGGTAAACACTGCAGCCTAAAGGTCGTTCCTAGTCGTTACGAAATATACGGAAGGCCGATCGGTTTATTAAGAGTTAACGCGCGCTTCCCGGCTAAGTGGTGGGCGAGAAGTCGTTCTATTGCTGCGAAACATGAACTACAATAGGCGTTGGTAGCCAACGTGGCGATAAGGCAGGCGAAAAGTTTGGTGGCCAGCAGCGTTTTGATCGTATAAGTCCCAACGCGTATGAAGGCTGTCATCAGGGCGCAGTTTACAACCCCATCGTTTGAGAGATTTAAGTGGTAGACGAGGACGAGTAGAGCCACAGTCGCTTCACCAAACGGTGGCTGTCCATTCTCAAAGAGAGTAGGAAGTGGATGTGAGTAGAATGCGAAATAAACCAGAAACTGGTGCAGTTACCTGGGGACGCATCAAGCATAATGTGTACAATAACTAGACGTGACTGGGGACAACCGTAAAAACACTTTACGCCAATATTCTTAATCTATGTGGACGATATCGAAGAACTCCAGCTTCAACAACATTCGGCAACTTGCAACAACATTATGTGACGCACGCAAAAACGCAGCGTTGTAACGAAGTCACAGACGGTCCGATAAGGTTCGTGACGAAGACCAGATCAGAAGCGATAGACTACCCCTAGTGTAGAACGAATCAGACCATTTGATGCACTAGCAATAACAGGAACTCCTAGGCGTGTTCGAAGCAACGTTAAAGGAAAAAAAAATCGCTTCGCACCTTCTGTATATAGCACTAACGAAATAGCATCATGATGTAGGAAAGCCAGTCACATCACAACGGTTACTAAGCATCGATTGGCTCACGTTGGAGATTAATGGGGAGAATAGTGATTTATCTTCAACGCACATTGATGAAATCACTGATAGTCATATACCCAGGCAAAATCACCCCAGCACTACAGTCAAAGTGGGATTACAGATGCAAAATTTGAGAGGACAGGAAAACGGCTTCACATGTAATTAGACTTCAATGGGACAAGAAGAATGCGCAAGTCAGAAACAAGGTTTGAGCCTGTTAGCAGTTCGAGTTGGAGAAAGAACATAACTGGATCGCAGTTAAGATGAGCTGGAGGAAGTAAAAGTACGAGTAGGAGACATGGGAAATGTTGCATCCTGGCTAAATTTAAAAACGTGCATGAACTTTGCAAAGACCAAGTCCATGTCAAGTAGGTACAACGTCACACCCGTCGAATGCTTCCGTCATGGACATACCCATGAACTCGTAAATCTAGATGCCGTCATGTCAAACAGCATGGCAGCAGCCCCCAACGTAGATCTGAACGGCGAAAGTGACCACTGCGCGATCGATGATAGTCTACTCTCAACGCCGCCAAAATGTCATTTGCCCAGGTGAACAGTCAGAGCCAGAATGAAGAAATCAACAAATTCGGTCTGTTTGCCCTAGCAGGCTCACATACACATACACGCACGCGCACACGTCCACGCAACACCGATGGATGACAGACGCATGAAGAGCGGGCGGGAGCAGGAGGGTAAGTCGGCTGGTCGGTGGACAATAAATGCAGTCGCGGCCAAGCGAGCTAGGGTGTGCCACGTAACTGGGTAAAGTAGTGAGCAAGCTAGATACCCGCCAGCCAGGAGGAAGTGGGGCGGTGAGATGTCCAAAAAGCAGAAATTGGGGCATTAGGAAGTTAATCAAAAGCAACGATCTGCTAGGTGGATGGATAGTCACTGAATGAATCGAACGGCATCCGGGGAGTGACACAGACACTAGAAGCAAGATATAACTCAGCTGAGGGTGCGTGCACCAGCTCAAAAAGGACGGCTCTATTAGAACAGAGAACTATCGTGAACATCAAATGTCGAAAAATCGACAACAAGCACTCAGAAAGTTGAGATGAATACATGTGGGAAAATGGAACGAATTAACAGATCAGTTAATCACAAGGAAGAATTAAGCTGTTGAGATTTGTACGCGAAAGCTCCTGATCACGGAGGTTGTCGGCGGCTAGACTAGGTCGGCAAATCGGTGCAAGCGTGTAAAGTGGAATCTACAGCATAATTTTCTAAATTTCGGTCTGGAACTCGATGGCTATACATCAATGCGCGCTCAGTGTCACAGGAAAAAGTAGAAACAAATGGGCCGATTCACAATGACCCTGGTTGGATTGTCTTCACAACTCGAATAAACATATTTTGCTTATTGTAGAAAGCCAACTAGGAGTTGAAAAACAGTGCAGCTAAACTGCGGCATCATGTTTTTCGATTCCTCGGTGTATTTCACTGATTCTTGCCCGTTATGCCATCGAAGATTCTGGGAAGCGAAGAAGAGAACAGATGACAAAAACCCATAATCATAACTCGGAGGGACCGTAATCTCATGACCAGCAAGTCGGGGTGCGCCCACACGGGTGAGTGGAATGTGAGCACAGGCGGACGTTTACATGTCAATGCGCCACCCATGGGACAACTCCACCGTGGTTCCCGTACTCCAGGCTATTAAGAGACCCTATTTTTGATGTAGCAGCATCATACCATAAGAGCAACAGGGTTGGTAAGTGACAAAACCAGAGCTTAAGATGTCTTGAGAAGTACAGCTGCACTCCCGATGGTGGCACTAGCCGATGTAATCAGTCGAATCCTGTTTCCTGGAGTTATCATCAAAAGGGGCACCGGTTTGAGCTGGGAAGATATGAGAAAACCGAATTCGACAACTGGTGGTGAACGCATGCAACAATTCACCCGTCACATGCATACACGATATTAAGCTGAATTAGCGCTAGGGAAACTGTGACAAGCAACTCACGGCAAAGCAAGTTGTTCAATGCAGAAGGCATGTTGGGATGGACGAAACTGCCCGATCCATGCTGTTGGGACGACGTGGGTGCTATAGGTGAAACCGCGTCTTCAGTGTTGGGCGGAGAGGAAGGGGAGCATCCGTCGTGACGGTACTGGTGATGGTGGGGTAGACGTTGAGATTGGTTGGAATATCCTTGCTTTAGCCCATCTCCTATCCCAAGTGAGGCGGTATATTTGGCACCGAGCGCTGACAGAGAACGCAGATGATCCACCGCTTCAACAGCAGACATGAGGGAATCCATAGCGACCGAACTAGGGGACAACTGAACCGAATATGAAGAGGCAATGCCACTCTTCAGGCTGGTACTCGCAGTCTCGTTCTCTGATGGACTCCGGTTTACTCTAGGGGAAGTTGGGGAGGGTGGTGCAGAGCATGCGCTGAAGTTGAGCATTCGTGTGCTCAAGTCAGTCGGGCGGTAAGACTGTGTGGTATCTACACCGTTGCCACTTTTAAAGATATCGGAAGGCCGCGAAAACGTCTCATTCTTTCTACAGGCTGATGACCCCATATCGTTGATGTTCCCGGAACAGTTGTGCGTGGTGGGGCAGCACATAGATTCACATGACCACATGGGAGCAGTACGGTGATATTCGCTCGCTGGGGATTTGTATCCACTTTGATGAAGGGACAAATTGGTTGGGTCTGAGGTGCGGTTTTCCGAACCGGCCGGATTCACCTCCGACATCGGGGTGTTCGACTTGTTGGATCCGAGATGTCCGGATAAAGAAGTAGGATGTTGCGACTGTACAGATGACAAGAGAGGTGATTGGGAATACAGTTCAGTGTTTGACAGGCACCCAGGTGTGCTTCCACCAGTGCTTGCAGGAGTTCCAACGCTGGAAGACGCTAAAGTAGCCATGGAAGGAAGCTGTATAGATGGGGCAGCCGAGTCGCTTCCCACTCGGACTGCCCTTGTGATACCAATCCCTCTTTGCTCTTCAACAGGATAGTCAATGTGGTTGTGGGGTTGCCGTGAAGCCGGGCTTTCTTGACCACGTAGTTGCTTTTTGGCGGCAGCGCGTTCACCAATACGCTTCACAATCACGCCCAAGTCCTCCAACATTTCGCCCAGAGTATCTTGACTGACACTATCCTTAACACCCGTTTTGTACGATATATCACGCCTAACATTACCCCCTAGATCCGGTGAAGTCCCAGTTGTGCCAATCTCATCACTGTGATTAGTAGGGCGCTCATGATGCAGAACAGGGGTTTGTCTGATATTTTGCATATGACAGTCACCATCACCACTCTCCTCAGGTTCATCCAGTTCTTCAAGTTCATCCAACTCTTCCTCCGATTCAGCAGAGGAACGGCCCATAGCTCGCAACTGAAGTGAAGTATCTACGGCGTCATCAGTATGCGTGGTACTTTGATCAAACAAAGTGTTATGCGTGAAGGTTGTGTGTCCCGTGACAAGGCGCGATTCATCAAAATGGGAGACGGAAGATGGAAACTGTGTTACGGTGGAACTTTCACAAACTCTCATCTGGCCCCTAGTAGCCTCGGATACAGAGGGAAATACACGAGCAAGACCGTCCGATGGTCTATCGATGCGATATCTGCCACGAATACCTCGGATGCGCTTTGCAACTATACTGCCTCTACCAGTGCTGGATCGACAGGCAACTTGCGTCGAGTGACCGGCGCGAGCAGCGGTGCCATCTGGAAGAAGTCGCAATGTCAAGGATAGTGCCCCAGTGGTTCTTCCCCGGATTCGACAACCCCGACCCCGACCCCGGCCTCGTGAGAAACCAGGGTTGGAGGGACCGTCATAATGGTTGCTGTTTCGCTCGACCTGTGCGACATTGAGCAGATGAGCGGCCATAGCTTCCGCAGTGCTGGGCTCTAGGGAAAAGATGCGTTCAAGATAAGGTTGCAGCTGCTGTTGAAGTTTCGGGCGCCTACCTCGTCTGCGAGGAGGAGTGGGGGACATTAAAATAGAACCTGTTAAAAGTTGATGCTCCAGTGATTCGACCATATAACTTTCATCCCGCGTGAAGCGCCGAGATGAGTGGAAAACAGATTTTAGTACTTGAGTCGGCTGGTTTACAATCCTTTCCAAAACATGATCCGTAATTGCATCGATTTGGCTGGTCAACTTTTCCCCCGTGCAAAATGCCGGAAGTAATGATATAGCGCTGGCTTTGGCGCGTTCAAACTCATCCACAGATCCAGACGCGTCGGCTCTTTGGAGCTCTGCCAACACGGCTGTTAATATGCTGCTCAAAGAGCATTCACTACTCTCGCTATTCTCAGCACGAGGAGACGATAATTCTGGCATACCACTCATTGATTCAGACGTGGTGAGTGTACTGCGGTCGAAATGGGATGAAAAACGCTCGTTCGAAGTTGGATGCGCGGAATTCTCAAACGACTGAGGGCCAGGATTGGAGTGTTCAAAGTCGAAAGCACCGGAGCTGAAGAGGTCAGGCAGATCGGATTCCTTGTCCAAACTGTCCAGGATCCCGTTGATTTCGGCGTCTAAAGGACCGGGTTGTTGCACTCCGCAAGATTCCAGGATGTCAACCATACGGTGTCGTACGGCAGGGACGGGGGTGGAGGTGCGAATTTGATGGGTTCCAGAGTTAAATTGAGAACCAAATGCACCCGATTCGGTTTGCAACCGTGGCACTACTGTAGGTGGAGTGTGCGATGTGAGATTCGATTCAAAACTTTTGTAAGGGCCCTCAAGGTTTGTATCTTTAGCGTGTTGTAGGCGATAATGTTCGTTCAAACCAGGTTTATTGTAGCAACTGAAGGGACACAGTGCGCAGTTGAAAGGTTTCTCGCCAGTGTGCTTCCGATAGTGTAAATTTAAGGTCTCCTCGCTACAAAAACGCCGTTGGCAGTTGGGCCATTGGCACGGATACTTCTTCTCAGCATCTACAAAAATGAAAGCGAAAGATGGTTAAATCGTAAAAGGACGCCTATACAAGTGATATCCTAACTGGTGTCACACTTGCATATGGAGAGAATAAGTGTACAATGAAGTATTTATGATGAGCGAGCCGCGACCGGCCTCCAGTGCAATCAGATTTCACAGTTGATCAGAACGAGAGAGTGGTACCAATGTAGCACCTAGTTTAACGCACTAATGATTTTGTTCAGTGTTAATATGATCGTATTTAGACAAAACAAGTAGTCAGCGGAACATTACGCACCTACGCCTAAAAAAAACAGAACACGGACAGCGGTGCTACACAGGCATTTTATATGGTGCAGAAGGATAGCAGGAACCACGACTCCAGATGATGTCAAGATATGTATGAGTCAACCGCAACAAAAGTCAACCTGGTGTAAGTGATGTTAACATAGGGCGCGAAGAAGATGAATGCATCCGCATTTTATGAAATGAGGACGCAATTCGGAAAGAACCAGTAGGTAGAAGTATAGGGAAGTAGATGCGAAAACTGGAAACCCAGTGGTGTCCTGCTGAACTGCATGGCTAATTCGGCCAATCGAATAAGATTCGATCATCGCAGCGATGTGCACTCATCCTTGACTAGTGAGCTAATCTCACCGCTTCGATCAATAGTTGAGGCTTTGAGGGGTCAAACAAACCTAACCAAAACACACCGTGACCTCTGCGAAGATGTGACCACCAACGGTGACAAAACTGCCCAGATATATGGCATAAATGATCAGTTGGAGTGGTTGTTAAACAATTGCAAGATAGATGGTGTATCAGCCAAACTCTGCAACAGCACTGTGAATCTTGAACGTACCAGCCACATACCGAAGCGTGCAGCGCTCAGACAGCAGCTGGATAAGAACTATGGAACGCACGTCCTACATGTGCCCAGTAAAACACCCACTCCAGACGAAGTGGGGAAGATAGGAGAGAACCATATCCAACCAGTCGGCTTACAAAGCGGACGTTGATAAGCTTTCATGGTGAACGCAAGGGATGACTCCAAGAAATTTAATAAGCTGAGTCCAGGGATAAAGAGAGCTTCTCGAGTATATTATTCTAAGGGTAACATCACCACGAGCAATTCATAACAAATTGTAGGTGATTGTAATCTGAATTTAGTGCACCCACTATGTGTATCAGTGATAGAATATGTTGGAATATACGATAGGGAAGCATCTTTAAACTTATGCACCCTGAGAAGAAAAATAGTGAGATATGAAGACGTTATGGTGAGTGAAACTCTAATTGTTAATAGTTGCGTGAGGGACTATAGAAGGGAGTTGAGTGTTAAGAAAAAGGGAGGAGCTGGTAGTCTGAAAAGTAAGTGGGGAAATATGTCAACCTTAGCAAACCTCACTTGCTGTCGGAAAGGAGCGCGACAACTCGCCGTCCATCAGGTTGTGAGCTGTGGCGTGAGAGTAGGGGCACAAGATATTTAGGCAATTTCAGAATAGCGAGGAGAAACAACAGTTTAAGTATCTGACAGCAGCAACTTTCTGAGTGAGTATGTCAAACAGTATGAACACTTACAGTCAAGGAACACATATATAATCAGCCTGCGGTATGTTTACCGCTGCTTTAATACCCATGGCATTGTGAAAATATGGTTCATACAGGCGGACGGAAACCGTCCTGTTCTTCCTTCATCCGGGATACCCGTTCCAAAGTAAATATTTTATTCTCGAATGCACCGAGGCACACCGTATCAGGCATGATCAAAACTTTACAGGCAATTATGTGTCGCAACAGGCACGTTGCGTCGCATACAACGGGAAGGCAACTAAAAGGTACAGAAGTTGCAGAAATGGGAAAAGTACCGGTGAAGAACAAAATCGTTTGTGATGCGACGATAGTTTAAGTTCAAGTGTGTGTAATGTAGAGATCAACAGTAAAAGCGTAAAAACTGAAGTGATGACGGAATATGCAGACAGGGAAGTATCTTGTAATGTACGTATCAATAATAGTGAAATGAGGCGTTAATCAACTTGCCAGTGTGAAGCAGTGGGCTGTGACTTTATTTGTTGGCGAGTCACACCCGCCATGTCACAGTATTGTTAGACATTTGTCGCTTCTTATGGGGAGAAGGCTTGTCAAACAAAAATCGATGTCAGTAGCTGTCACTAAAGGCGTCATATTGATACACAATTGGCTAGCACAAACGGTGCGACTGCTCTCCGTGTACATTATCAATATTTTAAATTCACTTCAGTTGGCTGGGATGTTCTCATCTCATTTCATACCTGTTCAAATAGGTGGGTCAATGTTTCGAAGAGGACATCACCATTATATTTAAATAGTGCGGACAAGAGAGAACCCAGACGAGTGGCGCGGAAATGACATAGGGCTGTAATCACATTTCCGACCACAATCTCAGGTAGAACTTTTAAAGTGGTCAGCTACAATTCATTCTGAGCCGAATGGATACGCATCGGCCAAGGAGCAACGAATTGCACAGACGGTTGCTCAGGGAAAGCTTATTAACTGACGATGATTAAGCTTTGGATTGAAAAAGGTGCATTTTAGCTCGAGCAGTGACTGCTAAACCAGCATTTTTGTTTGTGTGCAAGAAAATAAGCCAGACGCAGTCATGCCAACAAACGCGGAAGGGCTGTCGACCGTGGATTCGGACGCAGCACACACGGGCTCTAAGTATGTTCAGTGTGCATAAAGTGTAGCCCGTTGGCCTGTCTGCATGTAGATACGAATACTGAACGCCGCTAGAGAACAGAACAGCGTGGACCGATAATTGTGGAGCTGGGATGCTGCCGAGTGTTCAGATCTAGGGCTCTCTGATAATACGTTGGCTGAAAAGCTTGATTACAAACCAAGGAGCATATGAAACCGAGGGCCATCTCACTTCCAACCCGTAGACCAGGGTGCCGGGGGAATGAAGCTGATGACCCTCAACCTCAATGGGCTCAGGGTCACTAGCAAGTGTAGGTAAGTAGATTAAGTTGGTACGCCATTTATCAATCTGCGCCAACCCTCGATCTCGTTTTGACGCGATTATGATACCAGGAGTATGAGCGTAAACGTTTACTAAAAACAAATTTAAAATTTACTAGAGCCAACCTCAAGACACACCTGTAAAAGTTTAAAAACTGACAGTGAATACACTCGGTGGGCTTAAAAATGAACAAGTATAGTGACACAAGCAACAGATGAGCCCAATGGCTACTGTCAGTCGGTTACAGAACAAACGCTACTATCTGTGGCTGACGTTCAGATGGTTGGCGGCATCCGATCCCGGATTTGTCTGTCGCTGTGGCCTCCATATGACAGCCACAAGACACCTGAGCCTGCTGTGAGACCATGGGTGGCATGCGCTGCCCCACATACAACGCCAAACCCAAAGGAATAAGACCGGTAGGTATGTGGATAGGAGCTGCGTTTCATCAACGGGCATCAGCAGTACGCCGGTACGCAGTATCGACACTTCGCTGCCGCGTAATCACCACCGGTCGCACGTGGGCTAAGGATACTGCGAGGATCGCCCTGCTTCTACGCAGGCTCGAACCCGAACCGTCAGATTACGAGACCAGCTTGTTACCTTTAGGTTATGGGCAGGCCCATACTCCTTCAACATACACAACGGCAGCACTCCAGTCAGTCTAATTTGGGAATCATGCGTACCAGCCTTACACATAAGCCGGCGGCTGGGACGTAGCCCGCTGCACACGGAATGGAACCCTACTTTGAGTCTAGCAAGGTCATGACAATCGTGCACTCCGTCCCCCCAGAAACGATTCACACTCCTGGAGCCAGTAACAGAGGTAAAGGGTGTCTGACAGGTATGCACCTTGGCAGCATTCACATCAAGCGCAACAACACCGTGGATATCAAGCAACAGCCAACACCTGAAATGCAAGAGATTCAACACGCAGGCACACACAAGTACAGACCAATGCAGCGATGACGTGGCGCATGTACTACATCAACATCCTTATTGGCCTAGGTTAGTAGATAGAATCGGAAGTAACGCTGCGCTGATGATCAGTACCTATTTAGCTTACTCGTCTTCTCTTAGCAATTGGCCCAACGTAGTGACGCCGGTGGCTTGCTAAGCCAGCTTGGCTCAGGCACTCGCCACCTCATCTGCTACAGCACAATAAGCTCGACGTAAATGGGCTATCCACCATCGGCGCCTGTCGCTTCAACGACCGACGTTACTTTTCCGCATGCAGTAGTGATCTCTCTTGCACATGGTCTACCGCCCTATTGATATGCTCTACCCATTCGCGACTATCCACTGCCATCGCTTCCCCACACATGAAATCAATATCAGTTCGTGATAAACTCACCTTGATCATGTCCAGGTAACGGAATTTCGCTTTTCCAACGTGCCGCTTCTCTTCACACAGTTGACCATAAAGCAACTGTTTCGGTATCCGCGTCGAATCCATGCGGTGAACATGCCCGAGCCACCTTATCAGAAGTATGCAATCCACTGCATACATTCCACTGCGGCGGAGCATCTATGTGTCTGCAACCCAGTCACCCCAGCCGATGTGCGGAATCCGACGCAGTCATAGTTGATGAAAGCGATCCAAATAACGGACACTCCCATTCATTCATTCATATACACGTTAGCTAGAGGTGGGAAACATCTCAACTACCGTGCCGCAATAATAAGAGAACAAATGAAACTGGTGCAGGCCAGCTGAGTTACCGGTAACGGATGAGCATCGTTCCGATAACCTACCAGCCGGATACTGTGCAACAATAAAAAATTACTATGCAAAATTATACAAGGCTAAATAGTGAGATAGTGGTTGGAGGGGGAGGCTAAGAGGGATGGGGTGGGACAAAGAAACTCACAGCACGAACGCCACTGTGGTCGGCTCCTTGCCATGTCAGCAAGTGTATCAAGCCAAACGTGTTCATGGCCTTTCGGACCCCAACCAGAGAGCCGGGACGCTCCAACCGAGGCCAGCTTCGAAGTGAGGGCCTTCATTCCTCTCGACCAAAT